CAGTGGTGCGATCTCGGCGCACTGCAACTTCCACCTCCTGGGTTCAAGCGATTCTCCTGCCTCAGCCTCCAGAGTAGCTGGGATTACAGGCGTGCGCCACCACACCAGGCTAATTTTTTTTTTTTTTTTGTATTTTTAGTGGAGATGGGGTTTTACCATGTTGCCCAGGCTGGTCTTGAACTCCTGACCTCAACTTGATCCATCCACCTCAGCCTCCCAAAGTGCTGAGAGTGAGCCGCTCCACCCAGCTTCAGTTCCTACTTTTGAGTACTTTGTTTAAAAATTACAAAAGATTGCCAGGGCCAGTGGCTCATGCCTGTAGTCCCAGCACTTTGGGAGGCTGAGGTGGGCAGATCACAAGGTCAAGAGATCGTCACCATCCAGACCAACATGGTGAAACCCTATCTCTACTAAAAATACAAAAGTTAGCTAGGCACGTTGGTGTGTGCCTGTAATCCCAGCTACTCAGGAGCTGAGGCAGGAGAATTGCTTGAACTCGGGAGGCAGAGGTTGCAGTGAGCCAAGATCACGCCATTGCACTCCAGCCTGGTGACAGAGTGAGACTCCATCTCAAAAAAAAAAAAAAAATTACAAAAGATTGTTTTGAAAAGGATCCATTTCCTCACTGGCATGCAAACAAAACAGAAGAGACCAATGGCACTCTTTCAGGAATAACATGAGACCTTCATGAACGTGGGCTTCCCGCAGCCACTCAGGTATCAGAAGGCCCAACCCGAGTCCAGCCCTGTGGCTTCCCAGCCCTGCTTCCGGTCACGGGCAAGGCACTCAAACTTCAGTTGCAACTTCTTCAGCTGAAAAACGAAGGTCATAATACCTGCCACAGCAACCTCACAGGCCTGTGGCCCAGGAATGTAGGAGAAAGTGCTTTACAAACCATATTGTATTTTACTACTAAGAGACTGTAAGACAGGGCGCGGTGGCTCACTTCTGCAATCCCAGCACTTTGGAAGGCTGAGGCAGGTGGAGTGCTTGAGGTTAGGAGTTCGAGACCAGCCTGGCCAACCTAGTGAAACCTGGTCTCTACTAAAAATACAAAAATTAGCTGGGTGTGGTGGTAGGCACCTGTAATCCCAGCTCCTTGGGAGGCTGAGGCAGCAGAATCGCTTGAACCTGGGAGGAACAGGTTTCAGTGAGCCGAGATAGCGCCATTGCACTCCAGTCTGGGCAACAGATCGAGAACAGAACAGTCTCCCTCCTGGAATGGAGAAAAGGAACAAGAGTTTTTCATCAATGGCAGACACCTGTGTTGCATGCAACAGAGGGACACCAGCTTCTTTTCTACAAGGAGGTTAAGTGTGAGAACTTGGTCAAAGCTTGCACTTAGGAAACATATCTTTGGGTGGGGGGAGGGGGAGAGAGGGTTGGAGAGCAAAGCACTTCCTAGAGACACCATCCAAAACACAACCAGTGGGTGTAATTTTAGGGCCAATTCCTGGCAGTTGTGTTCTCGACTGCTAGGGGTTTGGAAACAGGTGGGATATACTTATTATCAGGCTTCCCAGGAGTCCTGAGGCTTGCTGACTAGCGGGAAACGTGGAACTCTCACGAATGCATCCTCGGGCTGGTGGCTGGCTACTCCTGGTCATCTGGTAGCCCACAATCTAGGCCTCAAGTGCTCGAGTGGCCTCTGAAAATGTCTCACCACAAAAGCAGACTGGAAGGGGCCCCATGATGAATATGAGAGAGCTAACTGAGGACATCGGGAAGCGGGTACTAGAAAACTCACACACTAGCTGGCCTGCCTCTATTTCTGGGGTACAATTACATTGCAGATAACTACCTCTGTTTTCCTACCTGGAAGATGGGCATAACACTGAGACCCAGAGGTGACAGTGGTGAAAGTCCAATCCTTGTATTTCACAAAGGAGGAGACAGAGATGGGAGGTGAACTGACTAGGTCGAGTACCCAGCTCATGAGTGGCCAAATCAAGATGAACATCTAGATCGTGACCCATTAGTGTTCCCTGCACCCACCTGGTTTCTTCCAGGTCCTTCCCTGAAGACAGGAGTTGGCTGAAGGAAGTTCCTGCCATAAAATCAGTATGACTTTATCAACCCACCGACCTCAGCGGATGATCCAATGAAAAGGACAGCTGCCGCCTGCAGACCAAGTTCACCTGGGTGCTTAAAGACGCCCCCACAAATGATTATAGGTGGGTTTTCAAGCTGGAAGATGATGAGCAATCCTAGGGTGGTGATGCACATCCATCCAGAAACCCTGAAGAAGGCAAATGACACTGATGATGAAAAGCAAGAAGCACCCTTTGTGATGGAGGGTCCCAACCCCTTACCTAGACCACAGTCCTGCAAGCAAGTCAGAGCCAGGACCTGAGTAGGGTCAAGGAGCCCCGTGCCTGGCTGAATGCGCAGCACTTACCGTGTGAAATTTTCAAGAACTTAACAAGAGGCCTGGCATCTTCATTTTACACTGGGCTCCTCAATCACGTGGCCAGGGCCGCTGTCTCCCCGGAAGCCATAGAGGGATGGCCCGGTCTACACCTCTTCGCCCCCCACCCCACCCCCGCAGCCCTAGACCAAGGGGACCCAACGGAAGCCCTGCCACTTGCACCCTCCGCTAGGCCTGGCTTCGGGAGGGGAAGAAGACTGCGGGAAGGGGCAGGCGAGCGGGAAGAGGTCCACACCCTCGGGCAAGGAGCCCGCTAACCAGCGGCCTTTTCCAACCCTGGCAAGCCAGACGCCAACGCAAAACTGCCCCTGGCCCACCCTCATCCCCTGCGCTGCCTGACTTGGTTCCAAGGGTTGCCCCTGTCCTCCCTGCTCCGGAGGCGACGCCTTCCACGCCGCCGCAAGCGGCGACGTTCTGACTTCCGACGGGCAAGTGGGCCCGGGATGGGGGCCGAGACTCAGTTTGTCGGTGGGGAAAATGGGAAGGCGCGAGGCCCTCGGGGACGGAGGGAGCTGCCAGGGGCGCCGAGCCCAAGCAGAGTGCACTTCCGGCCACCGGGCCGCCCCGCCGGCGCCTCGGCTAAGGGAAAGTTTGGGGACTGGTGACGGGGAGGCGCTGTCGGCCAGAGCCCCGGCCTTGCCCTGGTCCCAGGGGCCGTAACTCTTGACGGGCAGGGAAGACTAGCCGCCCAAATGCCGGAGCCAGAGGCCGGGAGCCGCCGCAAACTCCGCGCCTCAGGGGCGGGGTCACGGTGGAGGGGCGGGGCTCCGGTGGAGGGGGCTGAAACCGCTGTGATGAATACAGTTACAACAAGTCTGCTCACAGTGGTTCCATAGTGTAGTGGTTATCACGTCTGCTTTACACGCAGAAGGTCCTGGGTTCGAGCCCCAGTGGAACCATGGCCCCACGGCGGCTCTTTTTGGCTTTCAAAATCCCTTAAACGTTTCGGTTAAAAAAAGAAAAAGACAACGAAGTGTTTTTCTTTGTCCTTTTTTTCTTTTTAAATTTTTTGGCATGTTTATCTCGCAGAAGTGAAATGACAGATACCCTCTCCTATCCCACAAGGTCTCTGCCGCCATCGTCCCACCTGAGAAATAGCGAAGGGCAGCAGCCCGGGGAAGTCCTAGACCCGATCCGGCGCCCCTGATCCGGCTGGGCCCTACGCCCCCTCTCCTTCCAGTACCCAGGGGCAGCCTTGGAAAATCGGGCGCTCAGGGATGCACCTGGCGCTGCCTTTTCCTTGCAAGTCAGCAAGGGCCGGCCCCATAACCTCCAACTAAAATGTGGCAGGCAATACAGCAGCTGAATTATTAAAGATTGATCATGATTATGACTCTGATTAAAAGTTCTATTTTTCGTTAAGCTTTGATGCACAGAGCAAGAAAAAAAAAACACTGTCCTTTTTAGTGCCGCAGTAGATTCTGTGTAATAGAGTTAATACACAATATAAAATAAATGTCAGATATTCCATTAATACTGGTTGAACAAGCAAACGTTTCTCTAGTTTCTTTCTGTTCCTCTTTACTATTTCATTACAGCTTCGTTTGGGGAGTTTGTTATTTGTTTAAATATTGGTCTTTTTTATCTGTGACAAGAGGAATGACGGTGTGAGCCATGGTGGGATGGTGGTAGCAAAAAACTAAAACGGGAAGGAGCACTCAGTATCTTTCTCTGCATTTTTCAACCTAGTTGTGCATCCTTAGCAGTGTAGAAATTTGCGTCTTTTTCTAACTCAAGATCATAACTCCTTCCCTGTTATTACAATCACTTCATCAACTTTATTCTTTTTTAAAACCACC